GTCCTTCATCCCAAGGACTTCATCAGTCCGAGGAGCCACAACAAACTGTCCCACAAGCAGCACACACATAGTGGTCAAACTAGGGGTGCACCGATTGCAGTTTTCTGGCCGATCACAGATCACCGATTTCTAAAAAGTCTGACCTGCCGATTCAGATATTGGACAATACTGATTTTGTTTTATAATCGACACTGTCAGGCGTTATAAGGCCACAATGCACCTTAAATTTTAATCTTATTTTGTTGAAAAACAGACCCTTGAACAATATCCTAGAAATAATACAAACTTGTTTTAACTGGCCATGAGGTAGTGCTCTGAAATATAAATGAATTTCAGACAATTGTTGTTAAAACTTAAGAAATCAGTAAAAGGTTTCTCGTGCATCATGCAGCTCATGTATCGTCCGATTTCTGATTTTCCCAAAGGAAATCGGGGCCGATAAATCAGCCTAAATCGGCCAGCTGATTTATCGTGCACCCCTAATATTCATATATATAAGAGGATCACTTGGCAATATAATATCTATGACATGCTATATATGGTAATTAAACTTTATTTATATCATCTGAGGATTAAAGGCAAATGAAGTAATGTCAATTTTGTTTAAAAAATTGTTTTTACATGTTAAGATGTGTTAGTGCTTAGAGCATAGGTTTAGGATGTCTCAGCTACTACCACTCTAAATGTTAGCTAAATATGTTTAATTTGATCACGTTATAGCTTTCTGTGTGTTGCCTAAAGCTCATTAGGTGTGGCAGTCGTCTTTGACTGTTCACACAAAAGTTCATGACTTGCAGATGTACATAGATCGACCAGAATGGATTTAAAGACTCTTTAAATCCATTCAGTGCTCTATTTTAGACAGTGTTGCTTTGAAAGGGTCATGCCAAATTTGTAATTAATAACATCTCACAATTTGCAGAAACTTTTGTGATTTTAAGGTATATTCCTGGTGGAAGACATCTTATATGAAGACAAGTCCAAAAGTAAATCAATTATAGATGCACATCTCATGCTTTCTGAAGTTTCAAAATTGTTCCTGTGGCTCATGAGGTATTTTGTAAACAGACAAACAAACACAAAGACACTAACACAAACATTGCTCTTTTGCCTTTAACAGTGAGTGATGATCAGGATGAACATAGATTTTGAATTTATCTGCACCGTTTGATCAAGTAATTCTTACAAACAAAGTTGTTTGGGTAGAGAGAAAAGCAAGTTTCAGATGTGCTGCAGTTCATACTGTAAAAAAACCAAACATATCAGAATGATACTATACTGTATAAATAAAGGTTGAATTAATGAAAAGTTTTACTGCAGCACATACTGTAAAGCACATTTCAGATGCACTTCAGAACATACTGTTAAGCATGTATCAGGTGTACTTCAGTGCATATTGTAAAGCATGTATCAGATGTACTTCAGCACATACTGTAAAGCACTTTACATGTGTACTTCAGTGCCTACTGTTAAGCATGTATCAGATGTACTTCAATGCATACTGTAAAGCACATATCAGATGTACTGTAATGCATATTGTAAGGCATGTATCAGATGTACTTCAGTACATACTGTAAAGCACTTTACATGTGTACTTCAGTGCATACTGTTAAGCATGTATCAGTTGTACTTCAGTACATACTGTAAAGCACATATCAGATGTACTGTAGTATTGCAAAGCATGTATCAAATGCACTTCAGTACATACTTTAAAGCACATATCAGATGTACTTCAGTACATACTGTAAAGCACATATCAGATGTACTGCAGTACATACTGTCAAGCACATGTTAGATGTACTTCATTAGGCTACATACTGCAAAGCATGTATGAGATGTACTGTAATACATATTGTAAAGCAAATATCAGATGTACTTCAGTGCATACTGTAAAGAACAGATCAGATGTACTGTAGTACATACTATAAAGCACATATCAAATGTACTTCAGTACATACTGTAAAGCAAATATCAGATGTACTTTAGTACATACTGTAAAGCAAATATCAGATGTACTTTAGTACATACTGTATAGCATGTATCAGATGTATTTCAGTACATACTGTAAACACATATCAGATGCACTGCTGTGCATAAGGTACATAAGTATCTCTTGATGAGATCGCCAGTTCAAGCCCCGGTACCGACAACATAAAAAATGTGGGTGGGGTAGGTGAAGCACCCACACCTGCCCCCACCCTCATTCGCCCCACCCTGGGCCCATGAGCAAGGCCCTTAACCCTCATCTGCTCCCTAAACAGGTCGCTCTTGAAAATGAGTTATTGTGGCTCAATGAGACTACCTTTACCAAAGGCTAAATGAAAAAAAAGCACTTTGTCCTTTGACTTGACTGTTTTTGTTGCATTTCCATGACTAAAGTGATAACGATGGACATGTTGAAGAGCTTATTAATCACAGGAAAACAGTCACGATGCTGAGAGAGATGTGTTAATGACAACAACACAAACAACAAACACTATCAAGATGATGAGTACTGACACAGTCAGACTGCTGACCAGTTTTTCAAACTTCCTTCTTCCTCGTGAAAGCAGAAAAGTTAACTTGTCTCCATCTCTTCTTAGAAATAGAAAACAAAAAGGGCAACACGTTGGAGCATCTCTGTTTCTGAGCAATGAGTAAACCTGCCTGTGAGACTTCTTTCGTTTCATCAGCCTAGTAGGATGTGATGTGGGAAGCGCCGGAGTTAGGGACACAGGTTCATATCAGTTAGTATTTTCAGTTTTCTTGCCAATCTCAGTTTACTGTGACTTTGAAGTTCTCTGGGAGGTTATTTTGGAGTTAGAGCAGCTGCAGATGTATTTGCTGCTAAATAAAAAAAAAAAGAAAAAAGTTTTGCTTCTTTTTTTACTTTCTCTAGCTACCCCCCATGTGAAAGTAAAACAACCATTTATGGATCCTAACTTTGGCTACATATTTGTAAAATTGACCTTTTTTTTTTGCCATTTTTGTGTTAGCTAAAACGATTAGCTGTGTCGGCCATCTTAAATTGGGCTGATTTTAAGTATTTTACAGCAGTAGGGTACAAACAGTAATTACTGGTGAAGAAGTTCATTCAAATCCACACAATCGTTAGACATATTTTGTTAACAAACATAAAAAACTGTTTTTTGAGCAAAAATCTTGCATAAAGTATACAACTGAAAGGACTTGTTTGTGTTGATGCTCAGCTACTCAACATTTCAACTCAGTACCTGTAAAATTATTAGACTCTGAGCTATTTGTGTGTTTCCCAAATTCAGCTGATTGTGGAGGTCATCTTGAATTGTGTTGACTACAAGTTGTCAATGTTTATCTGATAATTACATTCTAAAAGATTTGTGGAAATTCATCTTGTAGTTCACGAGATATTTTGCTAACAGACAACTAAAGTTGACTCCAAAAGTTAATGGCAATGTTTAAAAACAGATCTTGTCTGATGACGATCTGTTCTCCAGCACTTCAGCAACTGAAGTATTCGTTAGGGACAGCTGTCAGCTACCAACATACAACATTTTAGCTCAGTAAACATAAAACAGGCTAAACTATAGCTGTCTTTGTGCTTGCTAAGTTTGCTCAGCTGTGGCAGCCATCTTGAAACCGTTTAACTCAAAATGTTTGCAATAAATGACTTTTGAACGTTCCTTTAAAATCTGTTCAGTGGTTTGTGATATTTTTGAGCAGAGTGGCAAATACCATCCATTTACTGCAGCGGAAAATAAAAACATAAAACACACTGGTCATAATTACCTATACCCCCACACCCTCTGTCTAGTTACAAACAATCTGACCCAAGAGCGTTTTTCCTGCTGAGCCCAGGTTCACATGTGTGTAGTGATGTGTAAGCAGGACTATAAAGTCTAGAAATCACTGAACAGTTTTGCCCCCCCCCCCCTCCCCATCTCTCTGATCTGCTACAATCGTATGTCCCACCACGTTCCCTGAGGTCAGCAGACCAGTTGCTCCTCACAGTTCCAGGAACTCGTCTTAAGCGCAGAGGGGACAGAGCCTTCTCTGTAGCAGGACCAAGACTTTGGAACGAGTTACCTCTGCTTGTCAGACATGACCCCTCCTTCTCGGTCTTCAAGTCCCGTTTAAAAACCCACTACTATTCGGTAGCTTTCAACACAAGATGATCTGTGTTTTGATCCTGTATGCTCCACACTGGTTTGTCGTCATTATCTGCATCGTTGTTATGTCTATATTCTGATTTACTTCATTTTGTATTTTGCTTTGTGTGTTACCTGTTATTCTGTCTGTACAGCACTTTGGTTGGCCTTGTCGCTGTTTAAAGTGCTCTATAAATAAAATGGTATGGTATGGTATAAAGTCATGAGGATGTGTCATTGTTTGCCTCTTAACTTTATTGCCTCACTCTGCTCAAGTCGTCAGGG